GGAGCAAGAGATATGTTCGATGAGAAATCAATCACAGAATTTTGGCCTTTGATGTGCGATTCCTACCCAAAAGTGGCAGAAAGAGCTATCCGTGCATTGCTTCCGTTTGTGTCGACATATCTTTGTGAGTCAGGCTTTTCAACTCTGTTGCAAATTAAAACGAAGCAACGTAGTAGATTAGAGGTAGAAAATGACCTGCGTTGTGCCCTTTCAAGCACTCCTCGGCGTATCCCAGAATTGGCGAAGAAAAAACAATCACAGGTTTCTCATTGACTGTAATCTTCATCTGAATAAAATTAGTTACAAATTTACAATATCCTGGTATTCTATTGAACTTTTTGTTTATTGCATTATGCTTCAGTTTGGTCTGTTATGTAATTCATTATAAATATAAAAAACTATTTTACTTTTATTCAAGTTTTATAAATCCATCAACATTTTCAATTGGCATTTAATTTGTAAAACTCCACTATAAAAATAATCCATGTAAAATTGTAAATGTATATGTACTAATATGGAAAAAATAAAGGATTTTCAGTATTATATGCATATTATTTGGAATGTACTTTTTGAGGCAGACAATCTTGGAAAGGAGGGGGGGGGGGAATGACATTCTGACATATGGTGAAAGGGGTGCATGGGGCAAACAAGGTTGAGAACCACTGCACTACAGTATTTACTATGAGAGCCTCCAATGTGATCCATCTTATCTAAAACACAGATTGGTGAGTAACTTTCCCTCTCATGATGATATGGATCACTTCATGGGAATTTGACTTAATATTTGTCACTTATGAGGGAATGAAAGAGACAGTGATCAGCGACAACCAAACACCTCCAATACATACAAGACTAGAGGCAACCTGCTTTGGTGACCACAAGTATAAAGTTACTAAAATAAATGGTGTATTCATTCACTATTATAAACGGAGAGAATGAGAAGCAAGTATAGTACAGCAGTAAGTTGGATCATACACCAGGAATAAGCAGAGAACAGTTCAACATGAATCACCACCATCACATTTCTATATAATTATGATAATTTACAGTTAGCTGATTATGGAGTACAGTACAATACAATACAGTACATAATTTATAATTTGATTTGAAAATAAGAGGATAAGTTGTATCGTAAGGTATTCACTTAGGATGTGTTCCTTGAGAAAGAGCTTTCAGCAAATTTGCTTGCAACAGGGTCATTATGACAGTACTGTATAGGATTTGATATGGAGAGACATTCCTAACTCATTATTTATTACCTTTAAGTGATACATGATGACTACTTGTGCACTTAGAGAACTGATTAATGAATAAACCAGGGAATCTGTAGATGCATTATACTGTTCACTACAATTATACTCAATTAATTGATGATAAATATACAATTATTTACTAATTGCTGATGACAGATATTGTAAGCATGAGAGATGGAGAGCTCTGGGGGGTGAAGGACGGCTAGGACAATCACCTGTTCAACCTCAGTAAACAAAAGACCAGGAATTTAATACGACAAAGTGACCCATCTGAGGCCGAGTGTGGGAGGAAGAGATTGGGGATAGTGATATAAGACAAGAAGAGAAAAAAGGAAAAAGCAAGGAATGGTCTAAGACAACATCTAGAAATTCCAACAAGCACAAATTACATTACGGGGTAGTAAGAAATTTCACTTTTCAGTACAGTAATGAGGGATTAAATATGTGGTTTGGCATTTTAAAAGAAAAGGCACAAGGCCAATTTAACGTAACTAATAACCTGTATAAAAAACTATCAATGGTGTTAGTCAGAATAAGTCTTCATTCACAATGAACTTTATGTACATGTGATGGATATAGTGACACAATACTGCACTATCAGGAATAGGAAATGATCTGTTACATCTGATGATCTTGTTGACACACACAATGTTCAGACTTAACACAGAACAGCCACCCTACAGGTCACATCATCAATAGTGAGGGAATAATCACCAGGATTAGTGTTTTCATTTAGTTAGACATTTTCTAAATAAAACATATCACCTGTAGTTACTTTCAAACTTTCATATCTTACAGCTCTTTATTAATAATGAAAACCATATATTATCTTAAACTCAGATGCACACACACAGGCTTACAAACTCTCAAAAGTACAAATGCATGCATATTGATGCAAATGTGTATGCATAGAAAAAGACATTCACAGATATACATGTATGCAAGCATTCATTTATGCCCATGCACATTTCAGGTACCAAATACATACAATGGAAAACCCCAGCACATATCTGGAAAGATGAAAATTTCACAAGCAGACAGTACTGTAATTTTCACGTCTCACAAACTTCACTGCATCCATTCTTCAAGTTGTGAACCACTTACTTCCCCCGCTTTTCCAACTCTCCAAGCTAATACTGTACTCTTTCTACTGATTAAATGACTAAATTCAGAAAATAAAAAAATTATTATCATAAATTTGTGTCCGGTGAGATTCAAATTCAATTCAAGAGCCAAGTTAAGTAGAAGAGATGAACCTGTAAACTAATGCTACCATCACCTCAGAGAGAGTGATAAGTGTCTCACATACAAGAGTCACCCTACAACTGTAATGCTGATATCATAAGACTACAGTTGCATCCAAAAAAAAATTTAGCATGTGGAATGTAAATAATAATGGTTGCCCCTTGTGTTTAAAGTGTAGAAACTGTCATCAACACAACAGTCACATTTTAAGTTAACGAGTTATATGACCCAGTGTCAAGGAATAATCCAAGACTGGACACCTCACCAAATGCACTGGCTAACCATTACCCCAAAATATGATCCATAAATCGACTAATATTCAGTTCCCAGTTGCTGTTGGGTAGACAAAGAAACTTTACCCACAGTTTTACCCTGTCCAGGGATCAAACCTGGGTCTACTTGCTGTGAAGCGAACATGCTACCCTGAATTGTGTGTGCATCCAATACATCCATGCTAGGTCTTCACTATCAATACATACACAGCATGATGATGATGATGATAATTTTTACTATCAGATACAACTATCAAACCTTTAAGCCTTATATACATAACAAAAGTCTTGGTTCTTGGAGTACTGTACTGTACAGTACTTTACTTTAAATCAGTATTATCCAAACTAAGGTAGTTCAAGTTTCAGTAACAATTATCATCCCTTCATGTCAGAATCACCACAAGCACAGTACAGTACTGTATCATCATTCTAGCCTCACAATAAGCAGAGGAGCAGTTCTAGGATGACTACCTCACAACATGTTTTACTCTACCTTGAATGATAAAAGCAACATCAAGACACTTATCCCTGACTGTTTAAATTCTATGTGTGACCTAGACCTTCGACACACACACACACACACTCGAATCTGGTGATCCACTCTTCAAACACCCCCCCCCCCCAATACTCTCACAGCCATGTCTGAGTTTCCAATGGATAAATAAAATCATATAAAGCTGAAACATTATAACTTTGGTCAGAAACACTGTAGTACTGTATTTGCACTGCGTTCATAAACTTGGTCTGAACTACAGCAATGAATATTATCGTGGTTCATCATGTTGAGCTGAGGGAATTAACAAAGAGGAGTACAGAACTAGATAAACAGGTCAAGACATTATGAAGTAGTAATTATAAATGGAAGAAAATACAATGGTGAGAGGGGTACTGAAGGTGTGTGATATTAGTGGTAACACTTACACAGATCAGAAATTACACAAATATTATAAATTATCAACTCCAGGATCCAAAGGTAATAATGCAGATACAGTACTTCTAAAATACAAGTCACAGTCATATGCAGGAACAAGAACTGTACCAAACATAAAGATGGGAAACATGACAGTAAACGGCAGAGCAGCAACAGAAACAAAAATGGGGAGGCAGGAGAGGATAATGGGAGTGAAAGCCAGGGAAGGGAGTGAGCATGGTGTGAGACTCACCTGTGGAGCAGCCCGACTGGCCCGGAGGGAGCACTGGGGTTGAGCACTAACTGGGGAAGGAAGGCTATACGGTGGTTTGCAGCCACCTGCTGCTGGGGTCAAGGTGAGGCACAGCCATCATCTGCAACATCAGGCAAACAACCAAGCCTTTACACCACTGACTTTACTTCCCACTCATCTTTTCCCCTGGCCAGTGGGTCCTCTGATGGGTGCTGACAGTGATCATTTTGATTCTCCAATAAATTTTGATAAGCTAACTTTGTACTGTAGTGCCAGTTATATTATTTATCAACCAGTGGCTGCTTACAAAAAAAAAAAAAAAAAAAGGGGGAAAAATCGGAGGAAGGCAACTGAGCCTTGTAATAAGATAGGGGACTCCTAGACAATAACCAATGAACAGCCTTGAGAAGGTTAAAGGCGCTCCAAAAATAAACCTCTACACCATACTCTACCCAACAAAGCTTAAGAGAGGACAAATTTACCAACACTGAATTATTATATAAAGCTAAGCCAAACATAACTCTGAGCATTTAATGTATTTTAAGAAAAAAATGTACCGACGGGTTATGAGGAAGATAATTCCGCCTACAGTACTTCTAGGATGGTGACCTAGGCCAAAAGAAGGAGGAGGAGGAGGAGGAGGAGGAGGAGGAGCAACACTAAATAACTGGACTGATTATCAGTTCCCTTACTATTTCCAAAAAAGAGAATAAACCATGAACTGTAAACTTGTGAGGAGTTACTGCGGCGGCGGCCAGGAGTGTAGCACCACAGTACAGCCCAGGAGAGACCATCAAGCCCATGGCCCAGGAGAGTAAGGTAGGGATTGGCTGGGAGGGTGGACGGGAGAGACTCAAGTCCAGGGGATGGGAAGGTACAGGTGAGGATGAATGGGTAAGACGGTCAGTGGAGCCAACACTATTTACTCATGCATATTACCGTGCACCATTTATCTACACGCTACTACTGCTAAAATAACAAATAATAATAATATAAACATGCTGTGGGGTGCACATACTGTATGACCCATCATGCACATCCAGTGACACAGCATGCAAAGTACTTACATTATCCTGAGTAATCAAGCCTGCCGTATCCTGTGGGACAAAAACCAGTTTTATGGTCATGCAAACCCACCCACAACCTGCTCTTAATTATATTACTCCCCTTAGAACATCCATATGAGTAAACAAATAAATCAGTCAAACCACAACTTGGCAACAACTACGGTATTACAAAGCAAAAAAAAATCTATTCATAACATACAGTCAACTTGAAGAAATAAACTAAAATTATGCTAACAACATCTAAATTTGGATGACTTAAGTCTTCCATTTAAATATCTCATATTTTCCACAAATGGAGTTCTTTATAAGCTATATTTCTGTCTAATTACTTTCCTCAATACTATATCAACAAATACAATTAAATGACATGTCAAGCACTTTTAAAACCTACACCATGATAACGGTACATTTGTCCCCACAAGGTTGGCAAAGTGTTACAAATTTCTCCAAGTCCAAAGTAAACTTTATTAATGTTAACCCTCTGCTGTTACCTTCTGGGACACTAAAAAAAACTAATGTTCACAATATCTTTGAAAGTTATATATTGTACCTTTGTACTGTATGTATAAAATGATCATTTCAGTTCAACAAACCCATGACAATACTGTACTTATACTGTAGTTCCGAGGGACAAACAACTATAGTTCTCTAACACTGAGGTTATAAAGTATTAGCCCCTTAATGGGTCTACACCATCAATGTTATGGTAGTTAATGGGCTAAACAAACTATACCAGATGCTGTAACATGATGTATATACTATATTATTAGGTATATCGGTGAGTCGGGTTAAGCTTTCTAATAATCTCTCGTTGTATTTCCATGTTTCCCAAAGCAAAATTTACACCAAATTAGTGTAAGTGTAAAGCCTTGCTATGTTTAAAGGAGACCAAGATTCTGATTCTCAAAGGGTCATACATTAATTTTTTTGCCATTTAACTAAGGATGAGAGAATCCATCCAGTTATGGTAATCTACAGGCAATGTCTAAGCCATTTTTGAATGCCATCCCTGTGTCACGTCTAATGTAAAACTATTCAGATGTCTTCTGAAATCCCATTTACTGGGGAAAATTAACACACAAGCCTTTGAGAGTCTGGTCCAAGAATTCATATCCAACATCCTTACATGTTACAATTAGTGACCAGTGAGTTACAATTTATAAAATCCATTTGACAAAAGTTTTAAATGACACACGGGGCAGTTACTATGAATAGCATCTCACATTAATAAACTATTATCATTAGTAACCCGGATATTATATTATAAACCACATAATTTATTTCATACAGTTATTACATCCAATAAAAAAGAGACTCAGTGACACATCAAGTTATTGTACAGCCATGTAAGAAGGGTTTTATACATCAGTCTTCATAACAAAGGTTTTACAAGTGAGTAGGGAGACATATTACGGGTCTGAGTTAGCACACAACTATTTGTGGAACCTGTGATTATAAATATATGTGTGTGTGTGTGTGTGTGTGTGTGTGTGTGTGTGTGTGTGTGTGTGTGTGTGTGTGTGTGTGTAAAGACATCTTTAGGTATAAAAATCTAGGTGTGTTGGGGAGAGATGTGTTTACTGTTGGGAAGGTATGAACTACAACTCCCTGTCACACCCAAACTTTTGTACATGTTTTAGTTCTGAGATTCAAAGCTGGTATGACAATGATTTCTGGGTCTGAAGACATACACTGAATTTCTTTGTCACACATATACACAAAAAAATAGATTCCAAATACAATTTCACATCAACTTTGAGCCCCAACCGTCATACAACCCCTTATGCCTGCAGTAATCTCTTTAAAATTACTAAAGTATCATTTCAATGTTCTTATCTACACAAGTTCATCAAAAACTACATCAAGTTCCAAAGTCGAAGGCCATTTGAAAGCTAAAATTAATTAAAGATTTTTTAAAACCCTAAAGACAGCTAAAAATTGCAAACATCTTTCTATACATCTTTCTTAATAAAAAACTAAGGTACATTATATCAAATTCTGAAATATAGAAATATTTATAGCAATACATTATAACTTGTTCAATCACTCAAAAGTTAGGACACAACAATTATTAATCCTGAAACTTCATCTACTGTAATCCTTAAAATTTAAATACAGTAAATGATTGCAGACATGTAAGTGAAATCTATTGGGCTTACTTCCAGGGATGTAAAGATATGCTCTGCCAAATTCAACCAAAAAGGAGATGTTAAGTCATTTACTTCAAACACACACTTCTTAAACTGTACAGCCGAGGAAACATTATCTATTTAACATATGATCAGAAGAAAAAATAATAATAATTTACTACTGAAGTATTTTGATGCTCATATGATCTCACTTTTCAGTATCCTTCACATTATCACTGAAACAATTGACTTTGGGTGGATGGTACTGGAGAAAAACCAAACTCAATAGCTATGACATATAGTCTCACATCTGTACCCAGCTGTGCCACTTGTCTCTGCTGTTACAGGTCTAATTCTTCACCCAATACACATGGCAGAAGACACATTAAGAGAAACACCAAAGCATTAAATTATTTTGTGTGTTCTGTGTAAAGTGGCACACGTAAAAAAAAAAAAAGTGATATCGGCAATTTCATATTACCCCCAAATGGGACTCTAACAGTTGCTCAATGAGAGAAAGGAATCTGAAAAGGGTAAAAAATCTCTTCAAACACACTTCAGAGGGCCATGCCCATCCTCCAACACACTTCTGTATGGTGCAGCAAGCAGCCCATGGCAAGCATCAAGAAGCCTTAGCAGTGCTGCTTTGTATTCAACTGGTAGGTTAATAAGTATACTGTATTACATTATTAGTAACATCCAATACAGTTTCTCTTTATCTACAGGAGCTCCAATAGTGCTCCTGCTCCTAATGCTTCAACACTCAGAAAGCCTTCTTCATACACCCCAAACTGCTCTTGTCAGGACCTCACAGGGCTTACACAGTCTCTCTTTCCCAAATTTTAAATGGTTCATGTACTCCTCCCTCCTCTCCTTCAACTTCTCCAAAAGCTCATAACATCTCCTTTAGGCTTCACATATCACACAATAATTTAAGATAAGAGTAGATATATCTTTCCCTCTGCAGCCTGGATATTTGTAAGCCAGTTATAGTTTTATAACAAGTCAATTGGCAAAATGACTACACTGTTCATACTGACTCACACCAGATTTCAAACAACATATTGTCTCCTCACATGGACTGCTAACAATAATCATCTCATCACCACCACCATCATCTCCCAATATTACCTTCATCACCCAGTATCACCTCTAAAGACTTAAAGAACTCAAGACAGTATCCCTCATACCAACATAACCTACAACATAGGACTAACATCTATAGTTTATGTGATCAGAAATAATATACTTAGTTACTAACCAATCCAATAGGGCCTTTATTTGACCATTCCAACCAGCTATTCTTGGTACACCCCATGTCCACTGACAGGAGAGGTAAATTAGTTCCCAACAGAGTAGGTAGAAGGAAGCCAGAGGGAATTATTTGTTTACTACTGTGAGACAAACTTGACTTCTTTAATATCTTGACATTCTCTAGAAAAGATGATCCCTCGGGAGAAACAAACGAGAGAAAAAGAAAACACCGAGAAGTAAAAGATTTGTTCCTTGCATTTTCTGATAAGGTTGTTTTCATGAAAAAGTGGATAAAAGTTAATACGTCAAGTAAAAAAAAAATATATATATATATACACACTGAATAAGTAATTTTTAATCTCAATATGACTGACTATGACATGTTTGGTATTCTTCCCATCAATTTGAGAAGTAAGAAAATATCAATAATCACACCAATACAACCCCCAACTGAGCTCTCACTTCAAATAGTCCTATCAACATCTTATCAAAGCTGAATTGAAAAAAACAGAGGACTTCCTATGTTTACAAGATTTCTATAAAGTGAAGCCTATAGATATGAGGACAACACCTGACATATTTTCACCACTGGCACTAAGATTCATCATCTACACTCCTCAATAACGTAAGATGGTGATGAGTGCAGTGTACATGGACGACAAATAACACACACACATCGACGAGACAATTCCGAACAACACATACAAGAGTGATGCTGGTCACACTACACAGATACACTGGTGCTGATACAGTGTGTAAGCTGTGGCAACAGGGTGATGTGCAGCTAAGTGACTTGAAGAGTTATTAATGAAGCATATATACACAGACTGCCTAAGGGTTCTAACAGGGAGGCAAGTGTTGGAACATTAGTGGTATTTCCAACACTTATGATAAATGACAAATACAGTACAGTATGCTGATGAAGACACACCAAAACTGGTGGAAATATATTATATGTATTAGTGGTAATGAGTGACATGAATAACAAGGGTGATGGTGATGATGAGCAACGGGTATCAGCGTTGATGAGTGACATGAATAACGGATATTGTTGGTGATGAGTGACAACAATAACAAGGGAACTAAGTGTTAACAAGCGACTGATGAAGATGAAGTGTAACATTATAACATCGACAAGTTCACTGATTCACTGACTTAAACTGATGAAAATTTCCCTTAACTGGTCCTCTGAGTCACTTCTATACTGATTATAAGTGTTAAGTGACCAGTTCATCAATGTTTATGGTAATTAAGCTCCACAGTATCATCAACATTACATGAACTTAGGCTTGAGGCCAAGAATTGGTGGCTGGTAGTCTGTCAGCTGTGTACCGTGTACACTAAGAGTTGAAGAGTGACATGGGTACCTTTAAGAAGGATTCTTACAGGCACTGAAGAAGTTGAAGATGACAAGAAACATCAGCACCGAAGAAGGACGCGTTTGCTGGTGCCGAAGGTGATGTTTATACTACAGTACCATAGCAGTGAAGTGCCACATACGTCATTGTTGGAGACGGCCACATAAGCCAGTTTAGAGGAATAACCGTTAGGCTGGTGTCGAGGAGCAGTGCATATATCAGAACTGACGAGTGTCTTGTAGAGACTCATAGTTGAACTTGACAACTAATATACAGTATAATAAAGTTAACTGTCACATATCCATCCACTGAAGAAATGATCGTCTTGTAGATGAGGGCACTGAAGAAGTGCCTTCACTTCACAGGACAAGAGAAAAATATTGTCTACCAAACCTGTATATGACTTGGATGAGAATTACTACAACAGTATTAATAAGTGCACTGAAAGCTGATTTATTCTCACTGGTGTTTAAATCAATGTAAATACCGGGTAGTAGGAACATATTAATAATTCTTTCCATTTTGAATAAGAAGAAATGTCAGGTAGACGATAGGTGGTGGAACAGTACTCACTTGGCTGTAGGCAGTAGAGTTTGGAGCTTGTACACCATTATCCATATAGACACGAACTTGACTTTGACTTGTTATTGTGGAGACGGGCGCTGGCGGACTTGATGATGGTTTGAACTTATATCTTCCTATATATTTGGCTGGCCGTTTGATACTGTAATAAGCAATACTTTAACTACAGTACTGGACTCTCTTAAACAAACACATACATATCCAACAAAACAACAGAAAAGCTATTCTTGGAGAACTAAAAATATTGAAAAAAGAAGCAAAAATTAATCCTCAAATCCACACCAAATGAATAAGTAATTTTGTAATGTACTGTATGAATATAAAAAATAAACTTAAACAAAATACTTTTATGGATAAAATAGCAGCACTACATGGGAGATTTTGTTTACGTGAAGAGTACCATAGTGATGTGTCTCAGCAATATAAGAACAGAATGAGTCTTACTAACGTTAAACAAAAATTAATCTATTTTCTAAGATTATATCAACAAAGATTTAATGTCTTAAAATGACAGGAGAGCAACATGGTGTCAATAGGTGCTGCACTATGTGACGCAGCAAAGGACCAACAAGATATCTGGGGCCTCATTCTGTTACTGCAGTAGAAACAATGAACAATAATGAGTGAAGGGAAAGCATGTGTTTGCTCTCTTCTTTCTCATCACATCCTGCATTATACTGTACTACAGTACAGTATAGGGTGAATAAGCTTATAAGAATTATTAGGGAAGGGAAAGATTCATGCAAACATGTCTCTTTTGCTGGATATGTGCTGGTCTACTGAGTCTTAGCATTCATCAGCTACTGTAGTACAGTAACTGGACTACCCTCAGCAGGTTCTCAGCTCACCAAAGGGTACTCATTGTTGGGCGTTACAGAGGAATGGATGAAGGAGAGTGAAGGGTAAGACTGTAATGTGTATTTGACCTTCCATTATACTGTACCACAATGATAGGCCTTACTTGCAAAGTTTGAATGAACAGACCTTATATTTATAAAAGAGAGATAGAGAGGTGGTGGGTGGGGCAATACTGTGGCAGAAGCAGGAAGACAAAATAAAATTTATATCACCTACAAAAAGAACAGATTCCTAGCATATGCCATCAGGGGGCGAAATAACTGGCATCACTTAACAAATTGTGATGGAAGACTCACCTGGAGTGAGGCAAGTGACACATTACATACAGAAGACACCTGCACTGTCCGCCCTCCATGCTATCTCCACTCTACGGCTATAATCACAGAGCACCATTTACAATTCATTAAATCAATCACAGAATAAAACTTTAGCTATTTATTTTTCCGTAACTATTTCGCCCCTTGGCCATACACTATGATCACATAGTCTACACTCACCTAGGGTACTGCGGGCCACAGAGGATGAAGCAACAGTTTCGACAGCATCCTCGAGAGAATGGATTATAGCCACCTCTGAACTTGCCCGTCACTTGTTCATTGGTGGTTCTCCCTCGGCTCACCAAAACCATGTGAAATCCCGTGAGGCCCAAAATAGGGATTAAGAGAAGTGCGATAACTGCCATCACCACCATGCTGTAATGTTAAGACAAAATATTAATGACTTAAATATAAATACTTCCCTGGGAGCAGCATGTTTTGTATATTCAAATGTGGGTTTGATTTATAACAGGGGAAAAAATAAATAAACAAAGGCATGATACCCAAATAGACATAAGGATTAGTCTTGTTTTAGAATGAAGAAATGAATGTTTGATGTGAAAATGTTACTCATAACTCACATAGCTACTGTACTTTCTTGTAACGTAAATCTTCCAACACAGTGAAAACTTGAAACTAAATCTGAAGTCTCAACTTTCTACTAATGGTTAATGTTTTATATTACTAAAGGTATATATTTGTATGTAAAACAGCTATAGAATTTTTCTATGCATTTAACATGAATTAGTACTGTATTTGTGCATTAATGAAAGTATGTGTGTATTAATGTTCATATGTACTGTATGTACTCAAATACACTGGACAGTATTATTGCCAATACATTTAACGGGAAAGAGAGAAGATTTTGTGAGCTAGTTTAAAACCATTTACTGTTTAAGCATCAAATACTTTAGTCATAATAACTGTGGTTGGCATACAGTATTACATTTTAGCTAATACCAATGTTCTAATACAGTACAGTACAGCAAGCTTACAGAGTAGAGTACAGCTTTAACCATTACTCTTGATAACTCACCAACACAACTATACAGCTTCCCAACACTAAGGTACAGTACCTGGTAAACAATGCACATCACTGACCTTACAAATATACTCTCTCCTGGGTTGTTAGTAAACCTGTAAAAGTGTCACTCAAAATCAGTCAAGAAATTATTTGGGTACAGGTAGTTCTGCTATAACGCGATAATTGTGTTCTTGTAAAATATCGTGTTATAGAAAATCGCGTAATAGAAATAACAGGGCTTATGGAGAAAATGGGGTTAGGTGCAGATTACTCGAAATCGAAAAAATTTAGTAGTTAGCCTAACACAAAGGATAGCACAGTCTAAATAAATGTTACATTCATATCTAATAATGAAATCATACAGTAAATGTAACACTTTACCTTGAAAAAATATGAATGTAACTTGATGGGGGAAAAGGGTGATTTTGAGGTTGATAACATCGAGCTTCTCTTCAAGGGTTATAGCCTTTCTTTTACGATCATCACCGGGAATTCTATCACCAGAACACTTCTTGGAGATATTCTTCTTTACCATATTCACAGTTAATACCACAAAATTGGAGAAATAGTAAGCAAAAATCGCGTTATAGCAAACAAGCGTTCGCGTTATACAAATATCGTTCCTCTATTCATAAATCGCGTTAGAGCAAATTCGAGTTATCAAAACACGCGTTATAGCAGAACTCACTGTACTGTACTGTTCTTTGTAAGTCTGCTATCCTCAATACAAACATCTCTCACACTAAATCTTAATATCAGGTAGCTCACTGGTAAACCATTCAAGTACATCAGCATTACTTCCTGGCCGGAGGAGACGACTGGGTTTTCTCTGTGCTCAAGCCCTTGTTCACATACCACTGAAGTAAGTACAGTATACAGTAAACCCTTGATAACTCGGCATTTGATAACTCGGAATTTCATATAACTCGGCACGGATATGGTGTCGGAATGTATTAATATAACTCGGGAAATGCCAAGATATATAAAATTATCTGGGAAAATCTCGGCATATCTGGCCACCTGCATCGACTGACTCATGAAGAAACAAGACATTAAAAAAACCTTGCCCGGTGGTGACTTACCTAACAATAGTAGTGGGCTCTGTGAGATATTCTTTTCTGTCTAGTACATGGATGAGGCAAAATGTGAAGATGGAGATCATGTGGATGCTGAGAGAACACAGGAACATGAAGAAATAGCGATAGTTCCGTCGACCTATGCAATTGTTGACCCATGGGCAATGATGGTCAAATGTCTGCAAATACAGAAAGATGTTAGAATAAACTTGCAACCACCTACTTGTTATCATCATCTTAGCATCTGCGAAGGAAGGTTAGGTTAGGTTAGATTAGATTAGATTAGGTTAGGTTAAGTTAGGTTGGGACATGTTAAGACAGGTTAGGATATGTTAAGATAGGGTAGGGTAGAGTAGGGTAGGTTTGGTTAGATTAGAATAGGGTAAGTTAAATTAGGTTAGGCTAGGTTAAGTTAGGTTCGCATTAAGGCATTTAATCCTCAAGTAATCCCTAATGTTTATACAGGAAGAAGTACAGTATAACACAATACCCTGTACGAGACTCACCTCAATGCAATGGTTGCATACGGAACAATGTGAGCAACGAGGGGGCCGATAAAAATGGCAGGTGACACACCATTTCATGCGGACGGTGATGCCATTTATCTCAACATTCTTGTATAGTGGGGCTCTGAAGTCATCATCCCGGTCTTCGTCTGTTGAGGCTGCAGGATGAGAAGGATTGTACATGTTATGTCACCATCGGGAAGAGCAAACATAAATTGTGTGCGCACACACACACACGCACATGCACACACATACACCGATAGACACACAAACAGAGAGAGACAGACACAGACAGATAGATACAGAAACAGACATTAACAGATACAGAGAAAGAGAGATCATGGGGTGATGAGTGATGATAATACCCATCCAGCCAAAAGTGAATGCGTAACAAAAACGCTACAAATGAATTCTCTCTAACAAAGACACAAACTAAACAAACAAGACCAATACTGTACTAATGAAAAAGCCAGGTTGTGTTCCAGTGTTGTTCATGACAGTACTGTAGAGTATAACATGCATTAGACCTACAATATACCCTGGGTACTTCCCTACAATATACTGGGTACTTCCCTAAAATATACCGGATATTTCCCTACAATATACCGGGTACAGTACTTCCTCACCTTTTGGTATAACTCCAGGATCCATGAATGTTGCTAAAGAAAAATTGAGCACCACAAAGAGCGTTACGACACCCTGGTACACGGGGACATAGATGCCCAAACTGTAGAAGAGAGAAATACATCTGGAAAAGAGAAGAATTTTTTTTTTAATATCTTTCTTTTATTACACTAAATACAAACTTTAAATCCATGAACAGTTATTGTAAATTATATCCTACATCCATACACTGTATATATATTATGAATTACATTATACTGTATAAAGTGAAGCAGGAAAAGAAAAATGGGATCACCTTAAGATTAGCACCCAGCTCATTATTTCACCTGATGATTAAAAACCTTAATGGTACCTGGAAGGGATACAATAGCCAGGATGTCTAACCTTCAGGTGATCCAAAATATGTTCCTCATTCAATATAATTTTTTGGGTTAAGTCAACACTGGCATACTGTACTGTACAGTATATAATATATTCTAGAGATAATAGGGGATTGATCCTAAGGGTGCAGCCACACTAGGGCACAGTCTGTCACCAACAAAAAATCGACAAGACGAATGAGACACAGGGTTGGGAGTGGCCGCGTGCACTAGACCGGCATTTCTTCTTGTTGATCAAATGTTGGTGACAAAATGTACGCTCATGTGGCCGCACCCATCACGATTTATTCCCCCCTTAGGGCACTGACTGTGGTGCTAAATCATATGAGAGCAGACAAACCAGCCAAATTTAATGATCTTATGTTAGTTTAAGTTGAATTGGTTCAGTAATTCAATTTCATGTACAGTACGACCAGAAACAAGTTAGTCCCATCATCTCTAACTCAATCAAATATCTACATTTGAATGTATGGTAACTAACTCAAGATCCCATTAATAAATTCAGAGCTGAAATCTAGTGGGTTCCTTATTTTATACCTTTAATTTAATCAAGATGGAAATAAAGTGCGCACAGTATACAGTACAGTACTGTACAGTAATCTAAGAAAAAATGCTGCACCTTTAGAAATTACAGAAAATATAAAAAACAGTTACACATGTTAATTTTCATTAAAACTCCTACATTGACAGAAATTTTTAGAGTATTTTATGTGTTGAGGATGGAACAGCCAGAGGTTAGGTCGGGTTAGGTTATGTAATGCTAGCACTACAAGCTCTCACAAAAATGAAACCTCATCTGGCCTTGCATAACCTGTCCTCCTCCTCATCATTTTAACTCGATATAAAATATTTAAGACAAACAGAAGTGAACAACCCAACACATACAGTAGAGTAACTAGCTCTATAACTAACACCATATAAAACTAATAATTTACACACTAAGCTTCTTATTATCATTCCAAATTGACCACAAAGACCTTTTCCACTGCTCCATTATACACAGCTACTCCTCTACCTACGACATACTCGACCCCTACGACCGCCTCAGTCGTACCAAAATTTTTTCAGTGATTGTGCTGTGTACTGACAAAATTTTCGTTTGCAATTCACTTTAAAATGGCTAGCAAGTGAGAGCTTTGTGGTGCTGAGAAGAAAAAGAGATACCCATTTTAGATATTCTATGTATTATTTAAGCATTTTCGACTTACGACTTGGGAACCTAACCCCGTCGTAAGTCGAGGAGCAGCTGTATTACGGAATCCATAGAATCATCTGCATTAGCTATGTCTTCATTCTACGTAAAACTCTTCGGGCTATTATATGTGCTTCTTATGTGATAAAAAAAGTGGTTCTAAAGCATTACCTCACTGGATATTTAGAAACCTAACCTAATCCACACAAGCAGTAGACACTCACCGTCCATAAGCTATATCCAACAATTATCGTCTGAAATTATGTGCAGTACAGTACGTAAATATTAAAATGTAAATATCTACCATGACTGAACAAACAACTAATCTCCAGAATAGCCGTATGAACACCCTCCTGAACATCATAGTCCCCCATCACACGAAGACACTGGTAAGAAAGTACAGTTCACTGTACAGTCAGGGTTCACTTACAGGAGAAACAGGACCTGTTCAACTTTATGGGACTGATTTCCAGAGCTTTTTGGGGGAACAGAAACTGCTCATGATGGAGCTTAGGAGAACACCTGAATATTGTAACGCAAGTCTAATCTTCGGGTGAAATAAACTGCGTATCTAATCTTCAGGTGAAATAAGTTGTGGTGTCTAATTGTCAGGTGATCCACGATGTTGTACACTAGAGTCAATTTCTCAGACTCACACTGGCTGAAATTTCCCTCAAATAGATACGGCAGAGAACAACTCTTGACGCTGAATAGTGACTAAGATGGTCGAGAAACTGAATTCAAGACTTCAAAGTACTGTAACAGTTACTAAAAGACTCGAAGGTCATTCAGTTGGATTTATGGAGTTTTTCATAAATGGTTCAAAGTGACTATCCAACAACTGCCCTTAAAGTATATACAGTACAGTACAGGCACTTTTTATTACACATTTGGGTAATAAAATGTTGAAAAGGTAATACTAAAAGGATCACCTGAAGATTAGGGCCCCCTGGTTATTTCACCTGAGGATTTAGCCCCAGCCTATTTCACCTGAAGATTAACCACAATAATAACGACTTTACTCGAATTTTCTTCTATTCTTCGTCGAATTGACTTACTGTTTACTACTTGTTTTAATACTTGACCTGTCAAGGTACATGGTAAACTGTACCTGACCTGTCAAGGTACATTGAATACTGTACCTGACCTGTCTAGGTACACTGTATACTGTATTTGACCTGCCTAGGCACAGTAGCTAAAACAACTATCTGTACATACTTTGTGGGAAATAATATGAGATCATGGACGATAAATTTTAGTATATGAGGGCTGTCACTAGTCACACGTAAAATTCAGAGCATATCGACCCCCACCTGCACAGATAGTTGTTTTAGCTACTGTACATTGTTTGTATACTGTACCTGATCTGCCTAGGTGCATTGTTTGTACTCCTGCACTGTCTGGGTACAACATTATTTGTACCGGTATATCTGTATAGTCTAGGTACATTGTATAACGTACTTGCACTTCCTGCGTACTGTAGCTACATTATCAGTAAACCTTAATATCATAGGTCTAGGCACATTGCACGCCTGCATTTTGGGTACATTGTTTGTAAACCCAGTTTACGTACATTGTATATCAGCAATGTCTAGGTTATATTTTGTATACAGATACCTGCACTGCCTAGGTACAGGTGTACACTGTTCATACACACACACACACACACACTGTCTGGATATATTATATACTTGCATTGTCTATATACTGTACATGCTGAACTGTATATCTGCACTGTATATTACAAGCTGATGAACGTTAAATTTGTATGACACATTTATTGAATAAATAAAACATCTATCTATCTACCTATCTATACAATGGTCCTATAAATATATGGTCTGAAAGTTCCTGTTAGAAATGTCAAGCAGTATTCTCATTACATATCATTTATTAATTTTCAAAATGAAGTTTGTCGACACGTTTGTTTCAGTGCAAAGACCAGTAATAAAATGCAGCGGCAAGCACTTAAAACAGAAATTGGTGTCTAAAGAAGCACTATACCATATATCTAAAATCACCATATAAACTGACCTGTCACCTATATACATTTCCTTCAGGTAATTGCGAACCTAAATAGTGAGTGACACAAGACAATATTGATAAGAACTAAATTTAACCCAGTCAATAATTATGGTAATATAATCAATTTAGGATAGGTTAGGTTTGGATAGGATAGGATAGGTTAGGATAGGATTACAGTGGTTCATAAATTATCATTAAGGCTCATCCCTTCCAAATTATCTCACAAATATTGTTAACAACATCAAGACCCTGAAGCTTTATATAAACATTTTAAACACCACATTCATAAGTTTACATCATTCACTTCCCCTCACCTGCCCCCTCTGGCTAGATTTCTATTCTATGCATTAAAGTAAAGATCCTAAAAAAAAATGACAATGTTAGAACCCAGCGATGCAACTGTGCCGTTATGTCATGTTCAAGTACTGCATCACTGACCCTAATACAGATATAACACTATATTGCCCATCTATCTATCTATCACCAGTGACGCGAGATATGGAGTTTATATACGTTGAAGTAACATCCACACAGTACACGTCATACAGGAAAGATGTACGTATATTCTTGACCGCGACACTAAACGAACCATTAATAATGTTGAACAAAATGAACCAACGAAACATCACCGAACATTAAATATAATTAGATCATGAAGTGATACTTCCTAGTTGTGTTGTGATGAATTATTAATGGTGACCCCCAAACACTAGCTACACCTCTGCAGGGGGTGTGGCCACTGATGTCTCACCACCACCACTGACAACAAACTAAAAATATAAATATAATATCAACCTCTACTAATTATATTGTTGGAGTTTTTTCTAATAATACAGGTGTGAGGAAAGTATAATTTGATGGTAGAGTTGTGAAGCTGTCAGTCACAGTAGTAGATATGGCTTCTTAACTACTGACAACTTAACCTCCACTACCATAAAATATTCCCTCCCGTTTCATACTGTCCTGTTCTATCACATCACAAGTATATCACGTTTCTTGACATTTCAGGATGAAGTGACAGCTTAAAGATCCGCCATAGGGTTAAAATAGCTCGAGGTTAAACCGATAACAACCGCCTGTTTACTATTACTTCACGAACGACAAATCAGTTTCTCGCTATTTCGAGTGATTTTTCCACGTTAATACTTACGGGTAGACGAAAAATAGTGTTGTACATGCTAGAAGTAACGTCCAAGCACACGTGGCCGGTATAAAACGTGTCTTGGGCTTACAACTTGGCATTTTATCTTATATTTGTCAAACTCCCCATTTCAGCAATCAAAACATGGCCGCACCTCAGTTAGAATAAATAGACGACTGAAGCTGTTCTTGACTGGGGGAGGCGAGGGACAGGTGAGCATCGGCCGCCTCGCTACATATACTAAACCCCGATGTTTATTGACGCTTAAGCCATTCGATAATCCTCAAGACATTAGTTACTTCACTAGCTAAACTTTGGATTCATTTATAGATTATAATTGACAAACAGCTTTTACTTGTTGTTCTTCTTCATTTCATCTGCTTATCAAAAGTATACCTTTCTAAAGGTCGTGAAATTTAAAATAAAATCCTCTTAAATTATCTCTATTACTCTAACATTCAGACTTTTAAAAATTTGCATACGTAAGGGTTCTGATCAGGGGTCACATGTGTATTTGCATCCTGAACCCTTGTGTACAGGTGTGTGTGTGTGTGTGTTGGTACAGTATTGATTGTATCTCTCACTATCTCAAATGTGTCGACCACTTGTTGATAAGAGCTTTGGGTCTTCATCTTAGACTCTCGTCCTCTCACCACTTCTAAACCTCAACACGTTATTTAACACCACCAACCGGAGTTTGTACACCTGCTCTGTCTATGCACTGCCTGTTAATCTACACTGTTTACGTGCATTGTTTGTTTAACTACACTGTTTATGTAGTGTATACTTGCAGTCAATATACCTTATATTTTTTACAGGGATTAGCCCACCCGGGCACATGTCACTGAACCTCATCGGGGCCGTTGTGGGGGGGGTAATAATAATAATAATAATAATAATAATAATAATAATAATAATAATAATAATAATAATAATAATAATAATAATAATAATAATAATAATAATAATAATAATAATAATAATAATAATAATTATTATTATTATTATTATTATTATTATTATTATTATTATTATCTTTTATATATTTTTTTTATCCTCTTCACTACTGATCGGCTCGTTAGCCGCTTGGGCGATCGGTCAAGTCTCTGTTACGCACTGTTGGCAAGTACTAGGCATTAATAATAATAATAATAATAATAATAATAATAATAATAATAATAATAATTAAAAAAACATAATAAAATGAAAAACAAGATAAAAAATAATAATAATATACTTCTTTTACTACTACTACTACTAATAATAATAATAATGTAATAAGAATAAGAATAAAGAACCATAAAGAAATGACAAATGGAAAAAATGATCACGAGTGAGAAACGATATGCTGTATGTATGTTGTGTTCTCAAAGAGAAACAATGAGACCCTGCAATTGTGTGTAAATGAGGCAGAAAGTCAGATCATCAACCTGGGACTTGGTCACAATTTTTGTGATGCCATATAGCAGCAGGGTCTACCAAAAGACAACACATTATGTTTCCAATATCTTCCCAGGCGGTAGTACCTCCCTGTCTGACAGCTGCCTACTACTACTGTTCATATGCATTGTATACTTAGATTATCTATATACATTGTATACCTACACTCTCTATGTGCAATGTATACCTGTCATGTACTGTCTATATACTGTATACCTACACTTTACATCCACTGTACACTACACTGCCTATCTACAATGCATACCTGCACTCTCTATATACATTGAAAACATATTCTGTCTATATACATTGTATACCTATACTATCTATATGCATTGCATACTTACACTATATATGCACTGCATACCTATACAGTCTATATACATTGTATAGATACACTATCTATACATTGTATACCGACACCATCAATATAGGACACCGTGTACGTCCTTAGACTGTCTATATACAGGATGCCTCAGGTCGCACACCATACGGCAGTTAATGTTCTTTTATTTTATTTTGTAGGTGGGCAGTTAAGTGACTCTTGTCCTACAGTCTCTCTCTCTCTCTCTCTCTCTCTCTCTCTCTCTCTCTCTCATAATATATCGATCCTTCAATGAATTTTCCTAGCAACTAAATATATATAAAATGCAACTGATTAACTCGAGTTACAATATAAGTGTACATACATACATGCAAAGGTGAAATCGTCATATAACACAAAACTAATATCCAATATGGCTGGAAAATTGCAGTGAAGCTCTACCTTAACTAAGTAATGTACGTTCAATAATAAAAAAAAATACAGTTAAAAAGAAAAGTTGTGAACGAATATTTGTAAAACCTGAAAGTTATTTTCCCTTACGATGATGGCCGCCCTTGATTAAGTCACCGGAAGAAAAGCAAAACAATGACATTCATTCTTGATTTTCGTGCGTTCTTCCTGTCTGCGATCCTCAAACCATCATCCTCAAAACATCGTTCTCAAAGTGTTAAATCATCGTCTTCGAAGGTTTAAACCATCGTCTTCAAAGGGTTAAACCATAGTCTTCAAAGGTTTAAACCATTGTCTACAAAGGGTTAAACCATAGTCTTCAAAGGGTTAAACCATTGTCTACAAAGGGTTAAACCATCGTCTTCGAAGGGTTAAACCATTGTCTACAAAGGGTTAAACCATCGTCTTCGAAGGATTAAACCATAGTCTACAAAGGGTTAAACCATTGTCTACAAAGGGTTAAACCATCGTCTTCGAAGGGTTAAACCATTGTCTACAAAGGGTTAAACCATCGTCTTCGAAGGGTTAAGTTTCACCACACTCACGTTGGCCTTGACTGAAAGATATATAATTGATCCTAACACTCCCTTAACAGGTCGAGGAAGAGGAGGTGAGGTAAAGGGGTGAGAGGAGGAGGTGGAGGAAGTGAAGTAAAGGGGAGAGGAGAAGGAAGAGGAGGTGAGGTAAAGGGGTGAGAGGAGGAAAAGGACGAGGAAGTGAGGTAAAGGGGTGAGAGGAGGAGGTGGAGGAAGTGAAGTAAAGGGGAGAGGAGAAGGAAGAGGAGGTGAGGTAAAGGGGTGAGAGGAGGAAAAGGACGAGGAAGTGAGGTAAAGGGGTGAGAGGAGGAAGAAGAAGAGGGGTGAGGTATAAGGGTGAGAGGAGGAAGAAAAGAGGGGGTGAGGTATAAGGGGTGAGAGGAGGAAGAAGAAGAGGGGTGAGGTATAAGGGTGAGAGGAGGAAGAAGAAGAGGGGTGAGGTATAAGGGTGAGGAGGAGGTGAGATGAAAGGGTTACAAAGAATAGTCATAGTAAAGGTCAGGTACCCATATACAGCTGGGTCGACTCAGGGTGATCCGGGCGTGAACTAGTGGTCGGAGGTGAGAGTTTAAGTACTTATCAAAATTCTCTGAGAATCTATTGAATACCAGAGACGGATGATGGATGAGAGGTGGCAGAGTGAGAGGGCATAGGAGTGGGAGAGAGAGGATGTGAGAGGTGGGAAGGAGAGTGTGAGAGATGGGATGCAGGGAGGGGGAGGTACGGGAGGTGAGAAAGTTAGAGAAGTGGGAAGGAGATAGAGTGGGGGGGGTTAAGACGTGACAGGAAGTATGAGAGTGTGAGAGGAAGAGTGTAAGAGAAGGAGAGAGGGGATGTTAATTTGTGAGAGAGTGGGATGAGAGTTAGACAGGTTGTGAAAGATGGAGCAGAGTGGGAGAGGGCAGCGTGAGAGTGGGAGGGCGTGGGAGAGTGTGTGTGTGTGTGTGAGAGAGGTGGGCCCGGGTCACGATAACAAAAGCTTGTCCGGTGCGACTAAAGGTGATATATGGCGGCCGAAGGAGTGGTGTACAGGTGGTGGTGTACAGGTGGTGGTGGTGTACAGGTGGTGGTGGTGTACAGGTGGTGGTGTACAGGTGGTGGTACAGGTGGTGGTGGTGTACAGGTGGTGGTGTGGTGTGTGTGTGGTGGTGGTGTACAGGTGGTGGTGTACAGGTGGTGTACAGGTGTGTGTACAGGTAGGTGGTGTGGTGTACAGGTGGAGGTGGTGGTGTACAGGTAGTGTGTGGTGGTGTACAGGTGGTGGTGTACAGGTGGTGGTGTACAGGTAGTGGTGTACAGGTGGAGGTGGTACAGGTGGAGGTGGTGTACAGGTAGTGGTGTACAGGTAGTGATGATGTACAGGTGGTGGTGAGGTGGTGTACAGGTGGAGGTGTACAGGTGGTGAGGTGGTGTACAGGTAGTGGTGTACAGGTAGTGATGTACAGGTGGAGGTGGTGTACAGGTGGTGGTGTACAGGTAGTGATGTACAGGTAGAGGTGGTGTACAGGTAGTGGTGTACAGGTGGTGTACAGGTGGGAGGTGGTGTACAGGTGGAGGTGGTGTGCAGGGTGGTGTGGTAGTGATGTACAGGTGGTGGTGTACAGGTGGTGTACAGGTGGTGGTGTACAGGTGGAGGTGGTGTACAGGTGGAGGTGGTGTACAGGTGGTGGTGGTGTACAGGTGGTGGTACAGGTAGTGATGTACAGGTGGAGGTGGTGTACAGGTGGTGGTGTACAGGTAGTGTGGTGGAGGTGGTGTGGTGGTGTACAGGTGGTGTACAGGTGGAGGTGGTGTACAGGTAGTGGTGTACAGGTAGTGATGTACAGGTGGTGGTGTACAGGTGGTGGTGTACAGGTGGTGGTGTACAGGTGGAGGTGGTGTACAGGTGGGTGGTGTACAGGTGGTGGTGGTGTGGTGGTGTGGTGGTGGTGTACAGGTGGAGGTGGTGTACAGGTGGAGGTGGTGTACAGGTAGTGGTGTACAGGTGATGTACAGGTGGTGGTGTACAGGTGGTGGTGTGCAGGTGGTGGTGTACAGGTGGTAGGTGTGTACAGGTGGTGTACAGGTGGTGTACAGGTGGTGTACAGGTGGTGGTGTACAGGTGGTGTGGTGGTGTACAGTGTACAGGTGTGTGTACAGTGTACAGGTGGTGTGTACAGGTGGTGGTGTACAGGTGGTGGTGTACAGGTGGAGGTGGTGTACAGGTGGAGGTGGTGTACAGGTAGTGGTGTACAGGTAGTGATGTACAGGTGGTGGTGTACAGGTGGTGGTGTACAGGTGGAGGTGGTGTACAGGTGGAGGTGGTGTACAGGTAGTGGTGTACAGGTAGTGATGTACAGGTGGTGGTGTACAGGTGGTGGTGTACAGGTGGTGGTGGTGTACAGGTAGTGGTGTACAGGTAGTGGTGTACAGGTGGAGGTGGTGTACAGACCTAACAACAGTACCTGGTGTATGAATACAAAAGATTAAGGATCCCGCCTTATTTCACCTGACCGGCACCCCAGCTTATTTCACCTGACCGGCACCCCAGCTTATTTCACCTGACCGGCACCCCAGCTTATTTCACCTGACCGGCACCCCAGCTTATTTCACCTGACCGGCACCCCAGCTTATTTCACCTGATGATTAAACAAGCTAACCTAACAAAACTTAATCTAGCGTTACCTAACTTAACATAACTTTAACCTAACCTAACCTTACGTAAACTAACCTAATCTAACCTCCCAGGTCGCGTTAGGGTGTTTAATAATCAGGTGAAATAAGCTGGGGTGTCTAATCTTCAGGTAATCCAATTAATATAACAAACTATACAACTTAACTATAATGCTTCAGACAAAAATACAAACAATATCGTATTTTTAATGGACACTAAACCCAACCTAACGCAACCTAATTCTTAACTAAATTTGATATAAAATAAATAAATATACGAGTGTATATTATATATTTACTTAAACTATAAAGTAGAAATTTTTATAACAAGCAGAAATGCTGAAGTAAATTACTTTCTCTTTGTAATGTAATATTGATATTATCTGCTTATTTATATAATTAATGAAAATATTCTTATATCTATAGATATTAAATCCACGTTGTGTTTATTACAGGATTTAATTTGATGTGTAACTTATGGGAGGTTTAGGTCAGTGGTGCACACCTGTTGTATCAGTAGTACAACAACGGGATCCAGTTTAGGTGTGGGGAACGGCAGGGAATGTTGAGTTGTGTCGTTCAAGAGGTTATTTTGGGTGATCAAGATAAACGAAATATTAACCTTACATAATATTAACCTGAAATAACATTAACCGAACCTAATATTAACCAGAAATAACAGTAACCTAAGGGAATTAACCTAAGGTAACACCTAACGTAACATTAACCTACACTTGCTGAGTACATGAAAACTTGTATGACGATTTTACTGAATAAAACTGAAGAGCTGTTGAAGCTTTAGTTAACGCTGCCAGCATCACATAATTTGGTATTTGTTTACAGTGAACTTGTAATACTGTAAGTAAGCAAATGACATAAATTAATGATTTTTTTGTGAATTACAGCAAAAAATAAAAGCATCATCTTTTCATTAGAGTATAGTTTGGGTTTATTTATATTAATCAATTACACAGCAGAAAATATCCTAGCGCAGCCTCAACATTATATTGCTACATTAACTTTTATTTATTAGCATTAGTTAATTTAAAACCTAACCAGCCACTTACACATCGATCATAACAGTGAACCAGTTTTGTGTTATCTCCATAAGACTAATTTGGGAATTCAAAACTTATGTTTAGGCCCACAAACACACTAGAAACTTCTCCTTTACACACACACACAAACTGTCCTCCTGAGTCCAAACTTAACACTGCTAGGCTCAGTGACTCACCATACAAGTTTTCAGTTGGTTCAGCATGTAGGTTATATAAACAACGCAGGAAAACTTTTAATTTATAAATAAATAAAAAATATCGTGAAAGAATTACCTGTAGATTGAAAATGTCCAAAGGAGAGCCACCAAATTGGTGCCTGCACTTCGGCGCCTCAGCTACCCAGACAGATTACATCGCCTGCTATTGCCTAGATTATACTACAGACGGGCAAGGGGGCCTAATTGAGGTGTATAAACATCTCAAAGGGCACTACTCAGTCGAGTGTGCTTACCTGGAGCTGGCGGACAGTCGCCCCACAGGGGGTCACAGCTCAAGGTTGAAGAAGCCACAAGTCCAGAAAACTGTGAGGGGTAACTTTTTTATGAGTGTGAGTTGTGAATTCTTGGAACAATCTGCCAGAGAGTGTTGTGACGGCACCGGGTGAGCTCTTTCAAGACCAGACTTGATCAGCACTGGAGCAGGTTCAGATACATTCAGGACCCAGTTCATGCCCAGTAAAATGTAAATAGATGTTAAACCGCGTTCACCAGAGCTCTCTAATCTATCTATACAGCAATAAGGAATATTCATGGTACAATGCACATCTCCGGAAGTAAATATTTATAAAGCAGGTACAGTATGTGAATGTCAGAGAGGAGGAGGAGGAGTAGGTGGAGGTCGACTAGTGACAGACAAGCTGGTGGAGAGGCGGAGGAACGATGATGTCCTCGGTTAAACAAATATACGTTTTGATAACTATTGTATTCTGTTTATCGCTAATTTAATTTTTTTATTGATAACACTAACTACTCGAATGTTAGAAGTAAACACGACTAAAGCTTAATATTTGAATAATGTTGAGGCAGCAAAATGGGGTATTATACTATAGGAAGTTTACCAATAATATCCGGGATGTAAAAATATTCCTTTAAGACATTTTATAAATGGTATCAGGAAGTTGATAAATGTTGCCGGGTTACAAAATGACGAGGAATGATGGAGCAATAGACTACTGATCCACGGTGTAAGACTTTCTGTGTATACTGCCAGATTTTGTTTGTAATTATTAAATATTTAAAGACGTTTAGATTATTTACAAACCACGGAAGTTTGTTATATGTGTGTGTGTGAACAATAATACCTGTATGTTGATTCATTGTTTTTGTTATAGGAGTGCATATTAAACTAACACCATACTTGTTGTCCATGAATTGGCTACTCACCCATTGCGTCAATGTGTCATATATCGCCACAAGAGGGTAGTTGCCATATATATACTTTGTCTTCACTCCTATTTCTACATAGAATTGCATGAGATGTAGTACACCTTCTAAGAGTGATTTATATTTACCGTGATGTAGATTATATGATGCTTGGTATTTTGATAAAGAGTTTTTTGGGGTAAAGGTTAGAGAGTAAAAAGAGCTTGTGTGGAGACGGGAGGAGGGGGCGATGTTCTCTGTAGCGGGGCGGAGGGTGAGGCAGGGCAGGCAGGGGGCAGCAGTGCACCTCAGTATTGTGGTTGACTGTGTGAGGTAGACGTTAGAACGAGTGTAGTGCGGTATTGCAGCCACGTGCACTTTGTCTTTAACACTTTTAAATACTATTACCATCACAATGCCTGATGTGGAGGCTAGACTTGAACCTCAAATGCGTTGTAGCAGCAGAGAAGAAATTTTAAATATGGAACATGAACAAAAACCTCTGCTGTCTACAGACGAACATTCTGCTGCAAGCAACGTGTGTATTGAGAAGCACAGCTCTCTTGACCCCGATAACTTACAGCACCTTGTATGTAAACCAGTGAACGGTGTTAAACTGCAGAGTAAGATGGCCAGTATTAGTGAGTCTTTAATTTTGCCATCAGTTACTGCAGTTGAAGTGTGTAAAGTACTTAGTGAGGAAAGTAAGAGTGAAACAATCGAACCACAGCCGTGTAGTGAAGGAGGGGCTCGTGTCGCCCCAGCTGTCCCCTGCCCACATCCTACGTTTTTCCTTCCTAGTGAGGAAGATACAAGTGATGACGACATGGATAATGGTGACGCGGGTGTGGTGGTGCTCCCTGAGGCGGGCCTGGCACCTGGTTCAGGCAACTCGGTGCCTACCTCCACTCCACCACACAGTAGCCAAATGCCACCCAGTGTCAGCCGAGCAGGTGTACGGTTACAAGGCAGTCGCCATGTGTTCACCATAGTTCCTGTTGACAGTAGTGAATTACACACTGAACATGACAATGGTAATGTTCCTGAGGCGGAGGTGTTGCTGAGTGCTGCTCCCACCACTACACAATGTATCACCACCGCCTTGTCCTCCTGCCCCTACCCACCACCCACTGTGTCTACCCGTGCGGGCGTCCCTTACTCACACTACAACACCGTAAAGGGCCCTGCCATTGGCCGTCGTCCACTATACAACCCCTACCAGACCATGACAGGACCCGGCATTAGTACGGGCCTCTACAACCCGTACCTGAACATGTCAGGGGTTACCATGGGTTCGCCTCCATACAATCCATATCAGACAGTGACGGGTGCGAGCATGGGCGCCCCGTTCTACCACCCCTACCACACCATCACGGGGTTGGCGCCCTCTCGTGACTGTCTACACCGGGTGCCGACCTTCTCCAAGAGGGAATATGGCATTGGCGGGTCATCCATGTTCGTGGCAAATCCAGAATTTAGAGCTGGAGACATCCCGCCCTCCCTGGCGTCTGTGGTCCTGCCCAAGACACCCATGCCTTCTCCTCAGTCATCTGCAAGTGCCTTGAATAAAGTTGTGGGTGTCCGACCTACGACTATACATCGTGTACGCACCATGCCCTCCTCTGTGCTCTTCCCCAACACGTTGCCTCTACGGCAGGGATCAAACCAGCAGAGTGGGGGTCAGCCTTCCTTTCCTCTAGAGCAGATGACGTTGCAGTCTATCAACCAGTTGACTGTGCGCTCAACTGGCGGCCTCAGCGTTGACGTCGGCAGCACAGACGGCCGCAATGTAACTGTGCATGGTGCAGTCGTGTCCCCAGAGCAACTACCCTTCCTGCCCCCCCTCAGGTACTGTACCATCGCTCGATGATGTAACAACACACTCAACTAACATAACTTTTGAAAATGGGTGAAGTACACGCACACAATATATTATACCGTGAAGTACTTATACGTACACAATACACCCTTAAGTACATTTATACACATGAGTATAAGAATGAAGGAACTGCAGCGGGCCAATACTGGGTAGTCCCATTTACACCCAAACCCCTATTGCTCATATATCCATCCAACCCATGTTTGAAGCTATCCAGCGTATTCAAGTTAATGATGTTTGGTAACTTGTTTCATTCATCCACTACTCTATTTCCAAACCAATGTTTACCTGTCTCGCGCCTAAATCTAAATTTGTCTAATTTAAAACCATTGTTAGGAGTTCGCTCTTGGTTGGATAGTTTGAGTACCTTTGTAAATGTCACCTTTAGCCCTGACTTCCATTAATACACTTCTATCATATCGGCCCTCACTCTACGTACACAATACACCCTGAATTTCTCGACATAACACTTGACGGAACCTTCCTATAGAATTGAAATATATTATTTTATCGCCTTACTGGGGTGGATGGGTGATGTCAGTGCGTGCAGGAACAATATTTTTATTGTGGATAAGATGAACCACCAAGACCCCCTAACCTATCTTATTTTAGGTTAAGTAAACAATACAGCCGTAGTATGCTGAGACGTACACGAAACACCCTGTACTACAGCCAGATATAAACATTACAGTGAACAAAACATTGGCTACCGTTATGTCAAAACATTGTGGAACTGGAGACAAAATTTCGGTGCAGTGTTTCAGTATCGGTATTCCGAGGCTTATCACCGCAACGTTCAATATGATGACGCTGTTCTCATGACCGACCGCTGTGGAGGACACCAATGTTATCACCCTGACGATAACGCTCGCTCCGATATCATGACGTTAACCATGTTGTATCCCGGCTGACACTGAGACTTGATCCTTATTTGTACTGTACAGCTCAGTGTTTTTCTTATGTCAAATAATCTCCAACAGTTACCTTATCCTGGACTAACACTGTGTGGGACTCCCTCGTTTGTCGACAGCCACCCGGTGTATGTGACCATCTACACTACTCATTCTATCTTCACTAGGCCTAGGGGCAGTCTGGAGCTGTGCGCGCTGGGGTGTTGGCAGGTGACAGATGCTATGCTTTAGTTTGGTATGGGGTTGGTTGCAACAATTGGTGCGACTCCACTTCAGTCGGCTCCTCACATTGTCTAATGCTCTCGACCCACCCTTTAGAGCGCATTACAGCCACGACGTCGCGTGTTAAACGATGAAAAATAATCCAAATCAACTCCCACTCCTCTCGGGGAGAGGGTGCTGGGGTCGCCATGCTTGAGGAAGGCATCAATATACAGTACATAGTGGGATCTGCTGTACGTTAGTGATCATACGTGAGTACAGACTTTGTTTAGCTGATTCCACACACTCGATCGCCTCGTCTAGCTTGTTGTTTAACTGTGTAAAATGTAATTGTGATTAAATTGCCACCGAGGCGCTGTCTTAATGGAACATGTCAGAATTACGTCTCCGTATTATTGTTAAGTCGTCGACCACATGATCCTGTACATAACAAATAATGTGGACACATTTGGAGACTATTTGTGTTTTCCCTGTGCTTGTCACAGGTGTACAGTACACCATTACCACAACTCCACTGTAGCATGAGGGCCACCCACATATAATCACCCAGCGCATACCACCCACGCCTATAAAACACGTGTTCCCACAAGAAGACACACAGGTTTTGTTTAGAACTCTTGTCTTCATCTTGCTGCTGTACTTTAGGCTGGGCTTCTCGCCACGATGTCAGGCCTACAGATAACATATTAGCGAACTGTACTTATGTGAATATTAATGCTTATATGTTTTTTGTTTTTTTACGGAGATTAGCCCACCCGGGCACAGGTCATTGACCCACATCAGGGCCTGGGGGGCGAAAATGTAATAATTATTCATAGTAAATAAAATTTATAATAAAAAGTAAAATAAAATAATGATGAAAACAATAATGATAATAACACTGTAATAATAATAATAATAATAATAATATTAATAATAATAATAAAGAACTATACAGAAAAAAATAGTGAGAAACAATATATGTATGTTGTGTTGTCAAGTAAGAGAAACAACTGAGACCTGCAATTGTGTGTAATTGAGGCAGAAAGTCAGATCAGCAACCTGGGATTTGGTCACAAATTTCGTGATGCCATATGGCAGCAGGGTCTACCATTAGACAACACATTATGTTTCCAGTGTCTTCCCAGGCTGTAGTACCTCCCTGTTTGGTAGCTGCCTAGTACCTACTGAATAAATTAAGGACGGATCCAGGAGGGGTCCTAGGGACCCGGACCCCCCTTTTCACCAGAAAAATCCCAATATTTTTTCTTTAATGCAATTTTGTACTCAGGCATTTTTGTTAAGTAAAAAGTATTTACTATTAACTGCAGAATATCTCCTAATATCAAGTTTGCATGGCTTCAAAAAGCCCATGATATTGATCTGATTTAAAAAATTCATGGGGGGTGGGGCGGCTAACAGCCCTCCCCAACTGGGTGGGTTCGCTGCGCTCGCCATGTACCCCCACCTATAACCTCTTGGACCCCCCTCATTTTGACATTCCTGGATCTGCCCCCTGCCCAAGACGCTGAAATACTAGTAACTAACAAGGAAATGTTGCCTCGGGCTGTAAGATGTTGATGTTGCTATGTCATATGTTATTTTGCTTAAAAAACAAGGCTTGTTTTTTTTGTGTACGTAGCCAGCCTCGAGACGGTGGGAATTTCCTCTTATTTATATCTTAAATCTTTCATTTTTGAGAATTTAAGTGTATTTTATACTATTTTACTTTATATTATTTATTTTTTAATCATATATTTTAATCTTCATTATCTCTTGTGTAAGGCAACGCACTGTAGTTGATAATAAAGCAAGTGTAAGGTGAAGGGATTTCATTATAATTTCGTAAGTTTTATCACGTTTCGTTGTATTTTTTATTATAATTTTCTTTAACTTAACTAGACAAGATTCGTTGTTACAGCTTCAGTTACGAGAAATGTTCATATTAAACACTTCTGATAATCTCTTGACTACAGTACTTGATAATGTTAAAGTGTTACCCTGTGTTAATAACTGTGTCGCGGTGAACTATAAAGGTCATTTTCTGGGCTTTATACACGTTTTAATTAAAATATATTCCTCGTGTACATTTTGATTACAGTAAATGTTCTATACGTTTTAGAAAATTTCATGTGTACGTTTTAACCACGGTTAAATGTCCTGTGTACGTTTTAACCACAATTAAATGTCCTATGTACGTTTTAACCACGATTAAATTTCCTGTGTACGTTTTAACCACGGTTAAATGCCCTATGTACGTTTTAACCACGATTAAATGTCCTGTGTACGTTTTAACTACGGTTAAATGTTTTGTGTACGTTTAGGGAAGTGTTCTCTGTCATTTAATAAAGTTTATAACGTTATGCTTAATCATCAAGTGAAATAAGCTGGAGGCTTATTCTGTACTTGTTTGGCATTACTGACAAAGATTATGATAGGTGCATCGCCAAAGATCATGTTCATGATAAAAGAATGTGACCTAATACCCTAGCGTTCGTGATGTAGCATAAACATTGATTAAATGTAAGGAGAGAAATGTGTACTTGAAGGTGTCTGTCAGCGGCGCCTGAGTTAGTTAAGCTAAGGTCACGCAGGTCTTATATTCAAATAATTTTGAATTGAAATACATTTTAAAATGAACTTCGTAAATTATTGAAAATACGCGATTATGGTAACGATGTTTTATAAAATTAGTACGTTAAAATGTAAGGATTTTGTCATAACTCATCATAAAGGGCGGCATCTTTTAGTCGATCATTATCCTACAGTATAAGACCAGCGACAGAAGATGGAGCCGCACTGGATGAGTGTTGTTGTATTAACGTTTGTATTTTTTCATTACATAATTTATTTGTTTAAATATACCGTATAGTTAAGTGGCAGCCTCCCTCCGCTCAGGACATGATTGAGTATGAAGCAAGGACCTAACCTAACCTAGTCCTTGGTATGAAGTGTGGCGGAGTTTCCCTGGCTAGCGGACATTTGAATACTGTACACTGTGTACAGTATCACGAGTTGACTTAGTCTTCTTTATAACAATGGTCATCGCTATATGGCCTTTGTGTTATATGTTTTATTGTTTTAAGAGAACACTGGTATTATTTTATTACTAATAATATTACCCGTTGCTTACACTTGAGGAAAACTGTACAGTAATCTGGCGCACAACGAACACACCTTAGTGACGTCATATATCAACGTTGATAAGTTTTATCTTGCATAACAAGGTATATTAGTATTTAATCTTGAAATACTTTTATAGAGTACGGTGTGTGATGATAAGTGTGGTTAGGTTAGCAGGAAGAGTGACGGGGCAGGACAGATGGACTCAACCAATGATGGTCGACCCAACCCATCACAAGAAAATATGCCAGATAGTGGACAGTACTTATTCTGCACATCATAAATTAATAAAAATATTTTCTTTATTGGCAAGGATTTAGTTTCTTGAGTCAGATCGGATAACAAGCAAAACGAACCAGCAGCCTAACCTAATCTAACGTGACCTAACCCTAAATCTAACGTGACCTACCCTAATCTAGCGTGACCTACCCTAATCTAGCGTGACCTACCCTAATCTAGCGTGACCTACCCTAATCTAACGTGACCTACCCTAATCTAACGTGACCTACCCTAATCTAACGTGACCTACCCTAATCTAACGTGACCTACCCTAATCTAACGTGACCTACCCTAATCTAACGTGACCTAACCTAATCTAACGTGACCTAACCTAATCTAACGTGACCTACCCTAATCTAGCGTGACCTACCCTAATCTAACGTGACCTACCCTAATCTAACGTGACCTACCCTAATCTAACGTGACCTACCCTAATCTAACGTGACCTACCCTAA